ATAGAGGAGAAACAATAATGTACAGTATGTGGAAAATAATGTGTTTTTTGAACCTTAAACCGCATAAACACATTTAATTACACCAAATACACAAAATAATGTTCTTTTTAGCAGCATCATATGACCCCTTTAACTTCTTAAAAAAAATAGAAAAAAAATAGTGACCACAAAAATTTAAACTGTAGTGTATCTTGTAAACTACAGATATATTGATAAATAATAATACATAAGATATGAAAAAAAGGAAATTACTTGAAGGGATCCATTTTGCAGTGATCCTCTCCTCATGACCAACACTTTTGCATCACTGTCACGTGGAGTGCTGCGCTCTTCAGCAAAGGCAAGGAAAGTCTGACCATCACAGATGTAGATTAGAGCAGGAATCCTATATGTTTTACCATCCTTCTGTTGGAATAATGCTGTTCGTGCAGGCAGGGCGTGCTGGGCTTCTGGGTGGCTTATTGACGCCATGCTGCCAATCATTCCTAGAAAAACAAAATTAGGTAAACATATGTGGGTACTGTATATGACATGAAATGAAGTGGACTTTGAACTTGAGGCATTTTCATGCACAGATATCTAGAGACGTCTTCAGAAAATACTGTCCCTGCTGTTATTTAATAATAAATAAAAGTATAAAATAAATATAAATCATATAAACTCATTAAAAAGACTTAAACGTCCTGATCCCACACGGTATAGACATACATAATCAACTGATACGGCGCCAATAATATCCTTTTTAATTAAAGATATTAAGACAAAAACTGACAATACATACAATCACTTCACGTTCCATATAACGTGTAATATTCGGTTTAAACGTACAGTACTGTGTGATGCGGCTCTCCGTCTCCAGCTTCCTCCACTGCAGACAGCTGAGAAAGACGAAAGCGGAAACTAATTCAGTGCATTGTGGGAAATGTAGTTCGGAACTTATTTCCGATAGGACCCTGTACACTTATTTCATTCACTTATATTAATTCAACGGTACCTTTTTCAAATTAATTTATAATT